AACAACAAGATAACACTTTTGGTTTTTTCATACTTTTTGTTTTACATTCTTTATTTATTTATTTAATTTATATTTCATATTTATATCCCGCCCTCCCCAGGTGGGCTCAGGGCAGCTAACAAGGGCAGGACACAGCCATGCCAGAATAAAAACATATTAAAACATAATAAACATTCAGCATTAAAACCAGTACTTTCCATGCCTTAGGGCTTCTTCAATATTAAGATGTTTCCACAGGGCCTCGTCCAAGCCATGGCGGTGGTGGTATAGTATAGGCGGCGGCTCCTACTCAAAGGTCTGGCGGAAGAGCTCCGTCTTGCAGGCCCTGCGGAACTGCACAAGGTCCCGCAGGGCCCAGATCTCCCCCGGGAGCTTTATTAGTTTGTACATCACAGTTTCTTGTTCTCACTTTACACGGGCACAAGTGCAGGCATAACGCTGATTTTGGTGGGGGCCTTCACATTCCAGCGCCTCTCTTTCCCGCCAAGCCTCTCTTTAACACTACTGTGCAGCTCTGCAGGGAAAGGAAGAAGCCCTTTAAAGTGCTGGGGGGAGGACTGCAGAACCAAATTCTGCCCCCCTTTCCATAGTCGCTCTGCTCCTCCCCTTTCCACGTGGATGCTGTGTGCACACGGAGACTCTGCCTGCAGCCACTTTGCGGTGTCCCATTTTAGTCAGAGCAAAAGAAAATATTATTTTCTCCAGCTCGAAAAAAGGAGCCCAGATGAGACATTCCTGAATTGGGCATAACAGCATCTGGATGCTCCCGTTTATTGTGGGGGGGTTCCCCAATACCCAGGTACGGGGAAATTCTGTTTCTGCCCCCCTTTCCATAGTCGCTCTGCCCCTCCCCTTTCCTTGTGGATGCTGTGTGCACATGGAGACTCTGCCTGCAGCCACTTTGCAGTGTCCCATTTTAGTCAGAGCAAAAGAAGTTATTATTATCTCCAGCTCGAAAAAAGGAGCCCAGATGAGACATTCCTGAATTGGGCATAACAGCATCTGGATGCTCCCGATTATTGTGGCGGGGGTCCCCGTAACCCGGGGGGGGTTTTGACATTGTGAATCTAGTGGATGTTGTCCAAGTGGATCCTGTGCAGAGTTACTCCAGTCTAAGCCCCTTAATTGCAAGGAACTTAGACTGGAGTCATCCTGCAGAGGGTCACACTGCGACTCTGTTGTACAGCAAGCTACAAAGAGGCTTGCGGCAGTTTAAAGGTTAGCAGAAGTGTTGCGGCATACGTTTTTGTTGACTAGGTGGAACTTTTTCAGCCTCAATACTCGACTGTGAGATGTTTGGACTTGTGATATAATGGAGGGTAAAGCCAAGAAGCAGCAGGTTTTCATGGCCGCTTTGTGAGCCCCCAGGAATAAGCTGCCTATCTTGTCCCTCTGACATCCCCCACATTTTAAAACTTAGAACCATTCAGTCCATTTTAGTTCCTTCGGGTTATTCATGTCCTCACCAAACCTCCTCTTCCAAAGTTTCCACCGCAGTTCTCTTTTTCAGTAAAATTATTTAAGACGACTACTTGCAGTAATAAGTCATATCACTCTTGGCATCTTAAGACAATAAATATCGCAGGCACCCGAGTCTAGAAATCATACAGCAACAGAATGGTAGGAAAAAAAACAATCCAACCTGCAGTGCATTCACAGGGATCAAGGGAGGAACTTTCTGAACGCTGTGGAGCTGTCTTTTCCCCAGGCTTTGCCATTAAAGCAAATCAGTTATGCACCAGTTTTGCTCTTGTTTCATTTCAAGTTGCCACAGGAAACATGGATGCTTTGATGAGAACTATTTAAATATGCCCCCAATATGCTGGGAAGCTTATTGAAACTCAGCAAGGGAGATTTAAATTTGTTTGGGCTTTCTCTGTCGGAGCTGACCCTGTGCTTCTTTGCCTGCCATATGGAACTTTCAGATAGAACTCCCCGTGGACCTTGTGATTTGTTGAGAGCGGTCAGTGCATGACGCTGTGTTTGAAAGTGCCCGTTGGTTCGCTTCATGCACCGATCAGCCGACGTCAAGCATTTCCGAGGCTCGTTGACTGAGCTGCAAGGACCTTAACATTAGCTGGAATGTTCCTTCAGTTATGTATTTATTTATTATCCCAGTAATTCATTCTTCTTCATTCCGTTTCTTCCAGAACATTATCAGATGAGCGTGTTAGAATCTGCTCCAGTCAGCTCTACCGTGGGCCGTGTCCTTGCGAAAGACTTGGATGAAGGCATCAATGCTGAAATGAAGTATAGCTTAGTGGATGGAGATGGACTAGATGCCTTTGATATTATGACAGATCCTAATTATCAAGTTGGCATAATCACAGTGAGAAAGGTAAATGGTCATGTTCCTCGGTAATGCACAACTAACACTGCTTGCAATTATTACCGCACTGGTCATATATCTTAATTTCCCCTATATATTTTTTTTTAAATGCCCTGGTCTCGATGGCCGAGGCTAGCCGTATATCATCAGATCTTGGAAGCTAAGCAGGGTCGGCCCTGGTCCAGTGTTTATTTATTTATTCTTTGGATTTGTATCCCGCCCCCCGCCCCCCGAAGGCTCAGGGTGGCTAACAAGGGCAAATGCCAGATTATAACAATAAAAACAATATAAATACAGTAAATACAGAATACTACAGTTAATTAAAATTAGTAAAATAAATAAATAAATAAAATGTCGGTGCTCCAATACTCGCTCCGAATCATAAAACCAAGGTGGTGTTCTGAAGGTGTTACAGCTGAACCACAACAGAATCAGCTACATTCCATAGAGGTTTGGCCAAAAACTAGAGTATAACCCCCCCCCCCCACGTCAGCAACAGAAGATCCCAGAAAGGACCAAGGATCTCCCCGCCAGCTGCCAGGTAGGACTCTCCAGGCGGAACAGGGCCTTCAGGCCTATGCAGGCCCATTCTGTCACACAGGGTATAAATGTTTTAAATAGATTATTGGTATATGGTACCTATTTTTTCCCCCTTGCTAGCATCAGTAGTAGCTTTGGGAACATGTTTTCTGTTTGGAAAAGAGCACAAGAGAGCATTGAAGCCCTCCACTGTCCTTGCTGCAGTCTCAAATTAGACACCCCGTGGCTACTTTTCACTCTAAAAAGATTTAGGCGCTCCAGTCATGGGCCTCCAGCATCTTGCTTAGTTACACTCTGAGAAAGCCCCTGCAGGGCTCATCCAAAGAATATATAAATTGCCTGTGTACTGAAAACTGCAGTGAAACAGAGTTGTGCTGTTATAAAAGTAAATATGCCTGACAGTTTTCAAACTTCACAGGAAAGCATCTCAGTCTGAAATGTAGCCTTTTAAATAACCTTTACAGCTTAATTGTTGTACAGGGTGACTGATTTGTTCAATATTTGCATTTAGACGGCAGCTACATTTTTCATTCTAGTCTCCAACAAACAATTATGGATTCTCTATAAACCCATAAAACTTTCTTTTTTAAGTTGCAGCTTAAAGATATACGGATAGTAATTAGGGTAATGAGGGCTGTCTTTACGCTGACAGCTAGGGACAGTTCTTTCATGCTGTTTACAGGAATGCAGTTGGTTCAGAGTGGTAGTCCTTTCTTATGTATCCTCAATTACAAAAAAAAAACCCTAATTGTTTACCTACTTACTCTGACGTAGGGTTGCCAAACCCCCCGGTTTGCCAGGGGTCCCCCGTTTTGGGGGGGTCTACCCGCCGCCAGCCAAATGGCCGGTGGGGGAAGCCCCCGCCCCCAACACCCACCCCTCTCCCTTTAAGTGTGTGGAACCCATGTTTACTCCCAAGCCCCAAGGAAATGCCAGCTTCGTGCTCTTAAAAGGGAAACGTGGCTGCTCTTAAAGGGGAAACGCCAGCTCCTTTAAGTGCAGGGAACTGCCATTTCTGGAGATCCAATGCACAGGCGGGGGGGCGGCGGACGTCCCCAACATGACGTCATCACGTCAGGGATGCCCCGCCCCCTCCAGGAACGCCCCCAAAGTCCCCCACTGGGGGTAGAAAATGGACTTGGCAACCCTACTCTGACCACACGTATATACACATGAAGTTAGACTGCCCTATGAAATGTTTGTCTTGCAAAATCCATTTTCCAGCTTGGTCAAACATGGAGCAAGCTGTGCCCTCTCTTCCTACGTCCTAGAAGGGAGGAGGTCTGAGCCTGAGAAAAGATAGGAGCAAGTCATCCTTCAAGATGGCCAACTATGGGTGCGTTCAGATGGACCATTTTGTCTGCTTTAGAAACGGATTTTATCTGCGCGATCACACAGTCAACATCTGCCTCCCATCCCCAGCTGTCACTTTCCGGCTCAAAACCGCTTTAACCTGGGCTGATTTCGCACTAGAGCTGCCTCGCGGTTGCACCGCCGTTTGCACCGACACTGTTGGTCAATTTCACACCCGAAGCCGCGGGGCTGCATTTGACCCACAGCTTCGCCCGATTTCCTCCGCAGTTTCGTGATCCTCAAAAAACAGGATCACGAAACTGTGGGGGAAATCGGGCGAAGCCGTGAGTCAAAGTGCAGCCCCACAGCTTCGGGTGTGAAATTGACCAATAGTGTCGGGGCAAATGGCGGCGCAACCGTGAGGCAGCTCTAGTGCGAAATCAGCCCTGGAGTATTTTGATACCAGGTCCCAAAGTGGTGTTTTCCTGATTCTCCGGTTCCAGACGCACTTTTCTGATGTCTGATCGCTCCTCCAGTGTTGAGCCACTTCCGGTTTAAACCCCCCCCCCGCTCAAAAGCTGCCCAAGACTTCCGCTTTTCACCGCCATTTTTTAAAAAGCATTGGTGGTGTGCGCATAGGCGGAGGTCCACCACCGCGTTATTAAAAACAATGTTTAAACGGTGCCTAGTTTTAACGTTTAGACAAGTTCAGGATCTCACAGAGGCCATTTTCGGGATAAACGTTTAAAAGGGAGTGTCACAGCAGTCGGGTTGAGGTGGAAATCGCTGTTCTGCACACGTGCGGAATTTTTAGTTCAACAGATGTCTGCCTGTGTGCATGCCCAAACAGAGAGAGAGAAAAACAACACTGACGCACGCTCCCGCGTGTGGACGGCAGGGAGCGACATTGCTGCGCAGCTATCTGGAACAAGGAGGTGAGTGTGATCGCGATTCTCCAGGTTAAAAAAAAAACTGAATCGGGGCCGGATTAGTTTAACCCATTCCCAGCACGCCGTCTGACCGCACCCAGTATGTCAGTCAAACAATAAAATCCATCAATAAAGCCAAAACATGTAAATATACAACAGAATAGATATATAACCCCCAGAGGTTGATTCGGGGGGGATCGTGGGAAATCGCCGTTTCCCCGGGTGAGGTGCGGGGGCGGGGCACATGACGAAGCCCCGCCCCCTGCTTCCAGCCGCCCCGCTTCCGGCCCTCATTCAGTCACAGGAGGAGGCAGGAGAAGAGGGAGGGTAAGTTGCTTCCTCCCCGCCTCTCCCCACCCCTGCCTGCCTGGGGCCAGGGAGGGCCTTGGTGGGGCTTCCTCACACTCCCGCCGGCCTTGCAGGTCCACCGCCGGGCCCCTCATGGGGCTCGGCAGTGGAGCCGAAGGCTGGCAGTGGCCGGGACCGTTGGGGGTGGGGGGCCTTTGTGGGGCTTCCTCGCACTCCCACACCTTTAAGACTAACAGATAGCACCTTTAAGACTAACCTTTAAGTCTAAGACTGAGTGGTGGGTGTGGCCTTATGACACACTTCCGGTGATGGCAGGGGGTATGGCCTTATGACACACTTCCGGTGATTTCAGGGGTGTGGCATATGCTAATGAGTTATGCTAATGAGTTCCCCTAGCTCTTTTTCTACGAAACGACCCCTGATAGCCCCAATAGAAATAAACTAAAATGAACTTAAAATAATCCTAAAAGAGCAGCCAGCGCTAGTAAATAAGGAAAACATTAAAAGAATCTACCAATGAAGTAGCTTCTAAACCAGCAGATAAGAGGCCAGAACAATCTAAACTAACAGCATAAAATCAAAAAAAGGTTGTAAGGATAAAATGGCAGAGGCCTTCCAGAACAGATCAGACTTCGGCAGCTTCAAGATGAAACGAGGGCAAGTGAGAACCTTCCTGTAGCTGGGAATTTGATAAAATGGGGGCCATCGTGGAACGTGTCCTCCTGCTTTCTTGTATTGAAAGCCCTCAGAGCAGGGCAACAAGTGACAATCCAAAGTCTTAATACTTCCCCAGCCAGTAGTTTTGCCTCAAACTGTTGTTACCTCTGTTACCACCACCCACCCCCGAAGAGAGGGGGAGAAAAACTAAACCAACCAAGCAAAAACTTCCAAAGGAAGCTTAGAAAACTAGTAAAGGGCCGAAAGTTAAAAACGTCAATAGGTATAGGCTGATTTCGCACTAGAGCTGCCTCGTTGCGCCGCCGTTTGCCCTGATACTATTGGTCAATTTCACACCCAAAGCTGTGGGGCTGCATTTTGACTCGCGGCTTCGCCCGATTTCCCCCACAGTTTCGTGATCCTGTTTTTTGAGGATCACGAAACTGCGGAGGAAATCAGGCGAAGCTGTGGGTCAAATGCAGCCCCGCAGCTTCGGGTGTGAAGTTGACCAATAGTATCGGGGCAAACGGCGGCGCAACATCGAGGCAGCTCTAGTGTGAAATCAGCCATAGACGAAAGTACACGTGTTTATTTCAAAATCATATAAAACCTTGTAGCCAGTTTCGTGTAGTGGTTAAGTGTGCAGACTCTAAACTGGGAGAACCGGGTTTGATTCCCCATTCCTCCGCTTGCACTTGGCTGCATGGCCTTGTGCAAGCCATAGTTCTGTCAGAGCTGTTCTTGAAAAGAGCAGTTTCTGTCAGAGCTCTCTCAGCCCCACCTACCTCACAGGGTGTCTGTTGTGGGGAGGGGAAGGGAAAGGAGTTTGTAAGCTGCCCTGAGACTTCAAGTGAAGGGTGGGGTATAAATCCAACCGCCGCCTCCTCCTCCTTCTTCTTCTTGTAGGAGCCCAAATAAAGCCTCATAGAATAATCAAAGTGACAAATGCACAAAAAGAATCATATACGACCTGATGCATTTCAACCCACAAGAGCCTTTTTCAGAGGTCAAATAGTACAGAATGCAACATACAACAAAGTCCTTGTCACACTTGGAAGGCAGTGAAGAATTGATGTAGGACCAAAAATGGAATGTTCCAATCTGGAATTGAATGACACGCACACACAAAAATGTGTGGGGCCACAAATGTATCTGGCCTTGTGTCAGAAGCAATTACATATACTGGAGATACTAAGAGTACCAATATGTACCTTCCAGTTTAGGTCTCAAGAGTGCAAGTAAAATTGCCTTATCAGGGCCAATGTAACATGAAACACAACA